GCTCGCAGCTACATTTGTTGCACAGCATCATATTTGCATGCACGAACTGTTTGCAAACATTAATTGCATGGGATGCAACAGCATTCTGAGAAGTGTGCCATTGAGTCAATGCAAGCTGCTTTGCAAGCACTGGCTCAGCAGCGCACGATCAGCATGCAGGAACAAAACAAAATGTTGCACGCGCAAAGGACATGCTTTGGATCGCTGAGGTGTAGGGTGTTAGGCTTCTGTTTGACCTGGCCTGCTTTTGGGAGCCATGCGCAACTTGGACGTGGACCGTCTTGTTCACCGGCTGCTTCGTGTGGGCGCTCCAAAGGCAAGCTGCATATATATGATATGAGCGCATGTGTATATTTGAGCATCACTCTCCGAATCAGTTATATAAGAAAACGGCTGTTTTTTGTTTGCTCCATACAAAGACTTGTAGCACTTGCAGCGTTCAAATCAATGTTTGGCTGAACCTGATTTCAACCTTCCTGCATGCATGCACAACAACTACAGTCCTGGAAGTGGATGCAGGCATTCATTTGCTGCGTGATCTTGGTTTGCTTCGCAAACCTGCCAGAAGTGGAGAAGGCCTGGTTCTTGAAGGGATTTTCTTTCAGTGATGCGACCCTAATAGCAAAGCAGTTCGCATGTACAAATACAGATCTTACAAATGCTGTACTATAAATGCTGGCTCTGACAAATGAATATAGAGTCCATGCATGAAGTAGTCCTGATATATGGCCGGGACTGGCCGAATCTTTTGTGCGATGAGCGGTTCTGAAATGTTCTGAACCACAGTGTGCTCGCCACTTGTGCAGGAGTTCAACTACGTCGAACTGTTCGCAGGGGTTGGGAATGTGTTCTCATGCGTGAGAGCTGCCTCATACGTTGGAACCGCGTGTGACCTGGAGTATGGGAACCACTTTGGGTTCAACCCCAGCAGGAACCCTTTCAATTTCCTTCGAGCTTCAGGGTTTGCGTTCAGGGCTTAGATCTTGCGGTCATCGATTTCTACACGTCACCGCCCGTATATTGAAAAATAATTGGAATGATTCATGCAGCACTGCAGTGTTTGATGGATAAGTTAGACTATCGAACACAGAGATTTGAATGCTTTAGCATACTGCAAACAAGTTGTGGTATAAACATGTTGCGCAATGTCACTCAAGGTTGATAATCTGGATCATTCTCTCTTGCGAAGAGGGAAACTTCTGGACGTTACTGGGAACGCCCTGCGGAAGTTGGGTGGGAATAAACAGAGGGACGAGCCGACGCTGCATCCTCAACCCGGACGGTGCTGAACGACACCTATACATTCGTGAAGCGAATTGCACACTATCAAGGAAAGGTTTGGAACATATAGTATATCACGAAACCAATCAGGGTCACATGCTAGGTTAGGTGGCAGTCTGCTTCAACCATATATAGGATCAACTAAATGACACTGACACGGCCTGCAGATCTTGTGCATGCATTGGAATGCAAACTCCTCTATGCCGATTCTTTTCCGGAAGCCTCGCAGGAGCCTACTCATCATGCTTCTGACAACTGTCAGGGGAGGATCATATGGCTTGGAAACCCCTAGCTCATCGATAATGGAGCACTTCAAACGTTTCCGCTGGTTGTATCGCCGGCTTCGAGTCCCTTGACGCAAAAAAGGTTTCATTGCTACATAGCCGGGACTAGCATTGTAAATACAACCACCCGAACACAGTGTAAACTGTATGGGTGTTGCTTTGAAGAGAAACGAGAGAAACATCAACTCTTTGCTGCATGAGCTACTGTTGTTTTCTTGCATGTTTTAATAGATCCTTTCCCATGCACCATCCGCATGACCGGTGCATGCCTGTTGGGCATCGAAGTAGATTTCGTCCATTGTATTTCGGCCTTCCGCAATAGCCCGGCCAAGGTATATCGAATTGGCTGGTGGATGTGCCACTACGGCAGCAGGTCACCAAAGCGGGAAAAGATGTACTCCAACAACAAGACGGTATCCAAAATATGTCTTGGTCGACTCACCAAAGCCCAAAAAGCAGGGATGAAGCTGGATGCCAAAACAACGAAGCGTACTTCCAATGGAGGTTATCAGGGAACATCCCAGCTCAAAAAGACTCAGCCACTAACCTGAAAATGAATTTTCATGTGATGGTTTCTTTTTTTGGGTTTGCGCTGTGTGTGCAAATAGGTCAAAACCAGGCAGGCAAAGACTATACGAGTATATGGGTGTGTTTCAACATGTGGAATGAGGGAACCCTCAAGACGTCTAGCGCTGCTTGAAGGGCTCACCCCCTGGCACTTTATGTTAACGTGCAAGAAACCACAGTTGAATCAGAAGGGTTCCCATATATAGCAAATAATGAAGCCCAATTAACCTTTGTTTGCATGCCCAATGAACAACCTTTGTTGCTTTTCAGTGAAGGGGGCTCTGGTCTTAGGATCTATCCAGTGCTATTTGGGAGGAAGATCGCGTCCCTTATGCCACAGCTCATGCAGAATGGTGAGGGCAAACCCAGGGATGAGGATTTGCCTGTTGGTCCGGCCCACTTAGCGTTCCAGAACACTCCTTGGGAGGACTGGCCTGAAGCAAACCTCAAAGAGGTTGTGACCTATTTGAGGGGCAGCAAGAACTTAGCTGTTCCAAAACGTTGGAAAGACGTGCTCCCAAAGTCCCTGTAGGTTGTTGGGGCCATTTTGTGCGCCGTGGTTGACCAGAACTCCTCTTCAGGTGTCCAAACGGTCCAAGTCTTATATATACGTGTTTCATGCATGCGCAAACGACCCCTGGACGTTTCATGTGGAGGAGGCCTTGTTCAGCAAAACATGTGTTTCGGGTATATAGTCAGATGCAGCGTTGAATAATGGTGTTGATCGGGAAACATATATGCAACATTCATGCATGCAGCTTTCAGGTGGTCTCGTTATATACCGGGTCAATGGATGATGTTGGCTGGCTACATGCTGCATGATCTCATGTGGGACTTCTTTCCGCTGGGAAACCTCAACATGCTTTTTTCGGGAATTGTGTATATAAAAACAGATTCGGGCACCCCCCACTTGACCAATTTGATCGATGGGCATTCACCAAATGGATCGTCTGGGGGTCGCTTTTGATCACTTTTCGCGCTCTTGGCATTTTCTGAGTACTTTTGGTCACCTCGGTCCCCAATCAACTCGGGCAGAATTTGTGTGTCTAGAAGGGTCTAGTTGACGGACGAAAAAGTACAACAAATTTACATAAAGTTTATGTAAACTCTGTTATGTATATTTTTTTAGCAAATTTCCCGAAAATGGATCCGTTCGGGATGCGTTCAAATTGCGTTCAAAAGCGTTCTTTTTGCATTCGGGTTGCGTTCAGGTTTACGTAAATTTTACGTAAAAAATTTCCCGAATCAGCCCCCCCCAAAGTGCTCTCTTAGTCCTGCAGGCTTGGGATCGTGTTCATTTTGATTCGGACCTTGGAGTCCACAAATTCGGAATATAATGATTGCGGGAATTCCTAGCAGTCTGCTGCACATGCTAGATCAGGGAAGGACCACTCGCTTGCTGCCAAAACAAGCTTTGGGAAGCCTGGAGTCTCTCTCGGATCGTGCCACATGAGCTGTTTCGATCGATGCTCTTTTTTTTTATCACAAACGGCTACTTCTTCCCGATGTGATCAAGCGATTTTGTTGGGTGTGTTGCCACCAGACCTGTGAGACACCATGTCGTCCTTGAGATCCCATGAAACGCTGCCCAGCCGGGCCTGGTCGTGCCAAACCTTGGACTATGGTGCACAGGCCTGCCAGGCATTGGCAGGCTTAAAGCTTGCTGGTGGTGACCTACCGGCTGCTTTGAAGGCCTGTGTTCCCCAAACTTTATAGGAATCAAACTGAAACCATGCAGAAACTTGGATTCTGAATGGTTGTGGTTCACGCATGGGAATTGAAGCATGTAACGCAGGATGCCACCCAGCTCCTGGCATCTTTGAAGGCTAAGAAGGCCCAGGCCCAGCAAAGCGTTGTGAAGGTGAAGCAGGAACCCACAGACCGACCCCGTGTTCCTAAAACGCATTGATGATATACATGAACACTGTATATAGCATATTGCAAACGATCCTTTTATATTGTTTTTATATGCAACTTTCCAACGTCCTCCACTGCATGGTTGCAATGCGACACACCCAAGGTTGCTCCACTTCGATCTTCCAGCCCGGAGCCCCCGTCTCTCACTTCTTCCGTTGAGACCCAACCGGCTGAGTCTTGGATGCATGAACTCTAACAGCATCTAACAGCGAACCAGTTGGAGTGAAAACATGTTCATTGAAATCTTGAACACGACCTTGAATGAACTGAGTATACGTTTGTTTTTCATTGTTCGATGCCACTGAGTCTGATGAAGAACTTCGGGCAAACTCACGTCAAGCACCACATATACCAAAAGGTTGGCAGGAGAACTGTATTTTTATTTCACGCATACAACACTTACATCTCAACGCCGAGTCAGTTAATGCACTGCATGGCAACACGTTTCAGTCAATCTCATTGGACTTCTTCTGGCAGGACAATTCTGGCAGGGCTTCTTCCTCATCTTCTGAGTCTCCGCCCGCTGGAGCAGATTCGATGCTACTGGCCATGGCCATCAAGAAGATCGAGAATTTGGAACGGGAACTTGCCACAGTTAAGCAGGGGAGCGGAGATTCGGAAACTGCTGTTCGGCAATCTTCCAACGCCCCCATGCCTTCACCAAGTGCTCCAGAGTCGAACGGCGCTGGAAAGGTTGACACACCTGAGCACAGTAGTGAAAAGGATAATGCCGATGCGGCTGACGGCAAGAAATCGCCGAGCTCAGAGGAAGATGATTTGATCGTTACACCGGATGGAAAGAAAGTTTCTTGAATGTATATATAAAAGAATTAATCTAATATATACTCACATCAACATCATTTTGCATTGCAATTTAGTAAAGCCGACAAACATCATAAAACCTCGATCCACCGACGGCCTTCTTAGGTTTTGGGGCACGATGCCTTACGAATGAGACTCCGTCGCCTCGTGGAGACCAAACCCAGTGGCAAATGCCATGTGGACGAGGTGACCCGGCAAGACTACAACAACACAGAGCGGAGAGAGTGGCTGGAGTTGGCACTATGCAGCGCAATCCAGAAATTTGGGCCTGACCGAAAGAACTTCAAGAAGATCAGGGTGGAGGGTGTCCAAAATCATGAGACAGTTAAATCTTAACATATGCAGCGTATGATGCCGTGCTCTTTTTTGATGCCCTCGCCCCATTGTCCCCTGACCAGGCAGAGTTCCTGACCCGTGTCGTGGTCGTCCGAGAACGCATGGCCCTTCGCGAGCAGGAAGTGCACGGGACCTGGTGCACTGAGGCCAAGTTGCGCCAAAAGGGCTACACCGAGTGCCCTGTCTGCGCAAAGGTTGCACACAAAGACATGGAGCCCAAGGTTCAAGGCGTTGAAAGTCAGTTGCATTTGTACAGGCTCCATGGGTTCTTGCCGAGTTACAGGTGGATATATGTATTGATGTCGGAACTGAGGAAGGATATTGCGGCCATCATAGCTTTTTGCTCTCGATTTCCGAACAGCTTGGTACGGCCATGCCCCCAGCCTACATGCATCTGCAGTGCAAAAGTCTTTAAGGCTGACTTCTCAATCAACGCCCAGAAAGGTCCATCCAGATTTTGTTTATCAGAATCAGACTTGAAATTGACTTAGGAGCTGGAAGTATGACAACACCGTCCTAGAGTATTTCGTCGAAGACGAATGCAAGTCGCTGCTCAAGAGGTCTGAGATGACCAAACAGGTTGAGACAACGGAGATGGAGGTCTGGGCCCCACCATGCATGCACCAATGAAAACATTAAAAAAAACAAAAAACATGTACAGTAATTCATGAACAACTCCTTCCTGCATGCTGCACTATACATTGACAACTGACAGAATTCCTATATCCTGAACCGCATCTTGTGAGGACCAGGAATCGGCTGCTCCTCCAGACACCTCCAACTTGAAGCTTGACCTGTGGAATACCAACGACACTAATGTGAAATCTCCAGAGGTGTTGGGAGAGAAGGCCGGCGCTTTCCACTGTCCACCATGTTTCTTCCCCTGCCTTGCTGTTGGCGCAAACACCGGACAGCAGGTCGGTCCTGACCTCGAGAAGTTCATGCAGAGCATCCAAGACAAGGTGAACAACATCCGTGAGATGATCAAGTTCACCCAAAGCACTGACCTCCCCGAACCGCGTGCTCAGTATGATGTGTGCCCCCCTGAAGACTTCAACTATCAGTGCATATGTGCGCATTCTTCTTTGTATCTCTTTTGGTGTTTCAGTGCCTTCAATTCAGTCTTAGGCTTGGCAAGAAACTGGAAGCTGTTCTGAACCTCCTGGACAAACACTACGTGGTCTTTGCCAAGCTCTTGACTGATTATAGAATGGATAGCCCTGCCGACAAGAGCGACCAGTTTCAAGTGTTGCTTGGACCCGCATGGACAAGTGCGTGCAGCAATATATGTGTTTGCGTGCATGCAGTCATATAGGTGTATGAACCTCCATTGTTCAGCGTTTGCAATATATACAAAGGCTCTTGGGGTGTAGGGCCACTGTGTTTCTATTTTTGTCCGCGGAAATGATGGACCAGCCTGATGACGATGATGCTGACCAATGGCTCAACGAATTGATCCTATACAACCGTACGGTAACTTGTGCGCACTTAGTGGCAGGGATCTCATCAATCAAACAATTAGATGTATGCGAGAAAAATGGAAAAGGGAGGGGCCACCACCCGGTCGCACCAAACTTCAACGTCATTTCCCGACTTCAATACCCTGGCCCCACGCAGGCAGATTCTTCCTTGAGCTTCCGGCACAATGCGTCGATAGAATGCCACCGCCAAGCCTCAAATGCAATTTGCATCCAAACAGGCTGTGTGGCAAGGTCCCAGGCCTACCGTGAGGTCTTGGATTCAAGAGTTTTGGCATTGCGTCGAACAAATGAATGCTTTAGTCTCATTGAAAGCAATGCAAGATTGGCATACAATTTGCCCAAGAAAGGGTCACTTTCAGGGCAGGTTTTGAGGCATTGTTACAAAACTCTGGACGATCATTTGGAACGCCAGTCACCTATGACCTACAAGATCGGCTTCACGCATTGTCCCTATACCAGGTTCTACAATTCCAAATTTGGATACTGCAAGGACAGGAACAAATGGGATGGTATGATTGCAGTCTTTGCGGCCTCAGAAACCATATCGGCGAGTTTTGTGGAAGCTGCCATGATTCAACGATACATGGGCAACCTGTTTGCGTTAATTATATAAGAATTTACAAGTGATGAACATGTTTGGATCGACGTATCAAAACTTTAAAACAACAGTACCGTGCGCAAACAAAGCACCTAGGTACACAGGGATGCAAAAATGAACGTGATGGCGGAGAGACAACGTCCGCAAAGGTTGATCAATCTGGTCCATTCTTCGTTTACTATGTCTTCAAAAGCTTTCGGCGGCCAAGTGATGCACTGCTAATGCGGGGACGGTTCGAGGGTTGAACCCGTACATGCGCAAAAGCCTGAAAACACGTGTTGGGAACCCATGTCGTCATATCGTGATCTCGAGCCCATGGACAAACAAATCGAAGATGCGTCGAACATGTTTTCACTCAGGCTTATTGCAAAAATCGAGGAGGCGAAGTCAAAGGTAAAAGACCCGTTCCTCAGTTCAAACATAGAAACCAGGGCCTTCCAGTCGAGTCAAAACTTGGTCTATATCAATGGGTGGATAACTGAGGTGTGTCCAGTTGCTTTCCCTCGAAGCTGAGTACAAGCAGTGGACTTAGACCCCACGTGTGGCATGTAGTAGACCCTTTGATATATTAACCATTGTTTGGACCTGAACTGCAGGCAAATCAAAAAGACCGTTTCCAAACAGCGGCTGCAAGACAAGAAGTCTACCAAGAACAAGGGGAAGGGTTCCAAGACGAAGAAGCCTAGTGACGGCGAAGCTGAAGGTTCCGCCGCTCCAGGATCGGGTCGGAAGGGCAAGGCTAAGACTGTACCCCCGAAAGAGCTCAAGACAAAAGCTCGGGGGAAGACCAAAGTCTCACAGGCTTCCACTGAGGAGCGAACTGCAGCTCCAGATCAGGGCGAGGCCACCAAGGGCAAGAAGCGCCCCCGCAAGTCCTGATCGAGCAGCTTGGGGATGATCTTTTTGACTTCAATGCGGGATTACCTGCATGAAGAAATGTCTTTAGCAAATTTGCACACAGTGGGGACTGCTTCGCTTTGACGTGGGCTTCAAAATAAGCCACTGGCTCCTGCTGGTGTAACATATAGATTGGGGATGTCTAAGGCGAGGCCGATGTGCAAAAAGAGAGTGCTCTCCATTCGCATTTCAATCATCGAATGCAAGAGTCTTACACTGCAACCTGGTTCTCCATTCCTCTTGCCCTCCAATTCGAAACCCTATCCAGTCACCAACATTGGTCACTTGCCCACATGCCAGGCCCGTCCTTGAAGGCCAAACATCTGGCTTGGAGATACGGCCGAGGTGAAACTTGGAGTGGAAAAAAGTCGAAGTTGTCTACTGTGGAGCTTGATGAATCTTTGATACACTCAATTAGACTTGTAATTGTAACACATTACGCATCCAAACCGACGCTTTACATGATGTATTTTGTTGTGAGCACTGATGCACTGATGTTAAAAATCTGACAAGCATCCGCTCAGGAACCCTGCACTGAAATCGTTCGTTCTGCCCGGGCTGACTTTCATGACTATGAGGACCAGGTCCGTAATGGCTGCATCGGGTGGCAAGTGTGTCCAGTGCTGAAAGCTTTGCAAACTCTTTCAGAGAAGCACGCTGATGCTTGGGTTTGGATTTCTGGAGTAGTGGTTTAAGTTTTTGTATGTTCTCCCAACGCACCCAAAAAATGTCAAGTCTTGCCCAAGTTCTATATCAACTTCTGGTCGTCTTAGCTCACAAGGAAGACGGGGTATGCAAGATCTTCCGTGCGTGGGGAATGGCATACCCAGTGCCATTGAGTCAAAGTCCAGTTGGAGACCATTGTGAGTTTCCTTGGATTCGTCCTTCGCAAATGCTCCAAACAATGGCTTCAAATGGAGATTTTCACTTTTTGTTGGCAGGGCACAGAACAATGCACGACGCAAAGGAGATCCTTGAAGAGTTTTGGGACAGGTATGAAACCATTTGTCCCAATCATGGCCTTTTCCGGAGGATCCGGGAGTCCGGTGGCAAGCTTCGGAAGTGTCAGCGCTTGCCTTTGATAGTTCATGGCGACGAAGGGACCACTTACAAACGGAATGGCATGCTAGTTGTTCAGTTCTCTGCAGCATTTGGAGCAGGTTCCAGGAGCACTATGTCGGACGAGGCATGGGAGGATTGGGCAAAGAACGTGAAGTCCACTGGAATCCCTCTCAACCAGGTCAAGACTGCGCTTCAAACCAGATTCTTATCATTTCTTTGCCCACGGGACAGGGTTTGCAAACTATATTGTACATATACAGTATGTTTTCTACGAAAGCCAGCTTCGTCAAATGTGTTGCATTTGCGCTGAGCAAGTTGGATGCCCATGCAGGAGATGTATCAGAATGATCCTGCAGTGTACCAGCAGATCATGAAGCTTGTCGTTGACGACTGGAAGTCTGCCCAGGACACCGGCATCACACTCCCGCTGCAGGGCACAGTTTACCCAATCGTGCTGGGTAACAAAGGCGACTGGAGTTATCTTGTGCCTCGGTTCTTCGCTTTTGGCTTTTTTGTTCAGAAGCTTTGAGACAAATGGCCCATGGGATATATGGGATCACTTGCGCTAAAATAAGCATTGCTCCATGCATCCCAGGTCCAATCTGCCGGCTTGGAACGATCATACAGGCGGGCACCGAGGGGAGCTGCTCAAGCTAAGAAGTACTTGGACAACCCGCCTGGTATTTGCCATTTGTGCTTGAGCGGCACGAAGCACGGCGATTGGGAGAATTTGAGCCATGGTCATTGAGCTTTTGAAGTTTTGTAGTTTTGTTTGGCGAGTGGTCCAGTGTTTGTTTTTGCAGTCACAGTCAAAGCTCTTTCTGGGCGGCAATTGCCATGCAAGGGATGTGGCTGAGAAGCTCATCAGAGAGGCTCGATCTTCTCCAGTAGAGCCTCCCTGGTCTTCCGAGCCTTGTTGGAGCCAGTTGCTTCATGATGAAGATCCTGGAGGCCTTGAACGGTTTCATCGGCCAGATATCTGGCATTCGTTTCATCTCGGCATTGGAAAAAGCTACATAGCGTCAAGCATATGGTTGCTCCAACACCTGACCGGTGAAAGCAGTGTCGACCGGAGGGTTGAGGTCATGAGCAATGACTTCCGTGAATTCTGCCAGCAGAACAAGAAGGTGATGTATTTGAGAAAGTTGGATGCGAGCACTTTCGGGCTGAAAGGCAAGGAGCCTCATGGTTCATGGAACAAGGCTCACATCACGAGTACGTTGATGGAATGGATGGAAAGCTTCATTAACAAGCACAGGGACACTTGCCAAGCTGATGGCATCCTTCGCTACATTGCAACGAGTCTTCTGTTGAGCAGAGTTCTACCACGGTCCTGTTTCAATGTTTTTTTAACGCGCATTTGTTTGAGACCTTTTGAAACTATTGCATGCATGCTAGCAGGGTACAAAGCCGTCAGTGGACATGTAAGGCATCTGCCACAGCTGCAATGAATAGACTGATGAGGGGGTTGCACTCTGAGGGTGTTTGGATACCAAGATGTCGAGCACAGAACATGGTGCGCGATGGCATGCACTTCATCCGCGTCTACTTGTACCTTGCTCGGGAATCCTTGTCCAACAGAACATGCTTGTATGCTCTTTACCCGAAGCTTCATATGCTTCACCATCTGTTCGAAGAGATGCACCATCAGTGTGCAAAGTCAGCATGGACTTGGAATCCTCTAGTGGACGCTTGCTTCATCGAAGAAGATTTTGTTGGCAGGATTTCAGCATTGAGTAGGTGTGTCAGTGCCCGTGCCCACGCCCTACGGAGTCTCCAGAGACATTTGGTCCAGTTGAATGTGTGTTTCAGCATGCGCTGAGAAGCCGATGGTGGTGATGGGAAAAAAGTGACGGGCTGGTCCAAGGTTTGGGATGGAGACTGACAAGGGAAGTGTCTGGCAGTGCTCAACCCAAGCTTGTGTTTGCGTGTTTAGTGACACCTGGATCCCCAAACAAGTTGAAATTTGCTCACTCCTACCCTCAAAGAAGCAAACAATCATGAAAAAACAATGGAAAAACCAGCTTTCCCGAATCTCCATGATGTGAAGAAGAAAGGGACACCCAACGGACGAAAATATCCGTAGAATACGAAAATAAGCGATGGAAACGATTAATAATCAGCATTTGCAGAAAAAGTTCTTTTTTCAACATAAGTTGAAATTTCAACTTTGTTGGAGATCCAGGTAGTAGCTTCTTGCTACTAGTAGTCATGGCTTCCAACCTAATAGCGATGGCCTCCACCTAGTAGCGTCAGTGTTACTGAGATCCCTCAAATGCAGGACTGCTAAATAGATCTTGGACATTTTGGATTCGCGTGGATTCACCGTTTCGGTGGAAAAAGCACCTTATCCTTCATTCGAGCAGGTACTTCCAGCTGACCAATACGTAATATTAAAATATATAGTAAAATATATATAGTTAATTACAACAGAAACAGAGGGAGGCATGAGCAACAGAGCGGCTGTGGCAGCTTTCAGGCACTTAAGCCACGACTGAGTGGCTTTTTCGAAGAGCAACCGAGGATTGTCAAACGCTTTGTGCAGAAGATGGTGCGAGGCCGGGAATTGAAGATGCTTTCAACGAAGCTTGGGTTGCAGAGACGCTGTCCAGGGTCGGGCATTTACTGGACCTTTGGAATCCAGTTGTTGCGTAGTGGGTCACGAAAGATCTCCAAGATCTTTTCCCTTTCCTCCAAGATGGCATGGAATGGTTTTGGTCAATGAGTAGGGTAAAACGGTTGCGATCAATTCACATCGGTTCTGTCCGACGATTGGAACCTGAAGGTTCAAGACATGTTTTGCTGCAAAAGGTGCAAGCGAAACGCCAATGCCAGTTGTTCGGGCAGGGCTGTTATGCCAAAACCCGAACTGATCGAAACCGCCATGTCCCCTTCTTTGGTTCCATTTGAGAATTTCGAAGGTGACTGGTCGACTTTTGGCCCAGACGATTTTGAGTTTGGGTCGATTTTGAGAGGGTTTGGTTTTCTATACTGGCTACCTCAGCGAACTTCACCAGGGGTGACCCCAAAACCTCCCTTAGTGGATGGTTTTCGGTTTTCTCATCCCAGGACGGGTCGATCGTTGCTTTGCCTCGTGATGCTGGACCGCGATATCCGGCATATCTCCATCCAGCTGGCAGGGAAGAAGGCTGGCAGGGAAGAATCGATTGTGGAATGGGAAGACTTTCTGGGGTTTTCCGATGTCCATGGGGAATGAACATTGGAAAACGAGCCTCAAAACATCCCAAGAACAACAAATAGATGGCATGTCCTGGTATGTCTCGCTTCTGTACAATACCATGCCAATCATGCCAGGGACATGCTAAGCTGCTAAGCCTCTGTTCAAAGATTATACGATATTATACGTAGAACACTAGCCTTTGGATATCACGACTCCACTCAGCTCAAAGCCCGAAGAGTTCACTTTGAACATCAATTATCACCCATCTAGGTCCTTGGTCTGTGCCACAGTTTAAACATGCCAAGCTGATCCAAGCTGCAGATGAACATGTTGATTTCCTACATTTTGTGAAGAAGCAACTCTCTCTCCAGGATGCGAAGCAACGCTTTGTGAACCTGAAGAGCATCGAACAGAGACGTGATTGCAAAACTTCTGTCTCAGTACAGCTTCTATCAGAATTTATCAGCATTGTTTTCATTTCTCACTTGCAGCTCTAGTTGCGACCCCAAAAGACCACTTGCGTTCATGGCTGAAACTGAGGATTTATGTCGGCCAGGATGTGGCAGAGGAGATTGAGCTGATGGTCACAGATCTCTCTGTGACCTTGGTCTTGGCGACCCAGCTCGCAAAAAGTGGGTGTCCGCTTGATATCGCTGGGTCTTGGCGAAAGAGAGTTTTGCCACGTTGAGCCCATGAACAATCATTGAATGCCTGAATATGATGGTCCATGATGGCCCCGACAATCATTTGCCGAACGTAGACTGTCCACATCTGTCCACAACATGTCGATCATGACAAATCTGGTCCATATGAGTCTCACAAGCCAAACGGAAGAACTGACATGGCTTGCTCAGGAGGAAGGGCAAGCCATAGCGTTTGATCTTGATAGTGAAGAAGAGCGCGACACCTTTGTCCCTTGGCATGAAGATGCCATCATCAGGACCTTGCAGACTCTCAGTTGTCAATTTTTATGTTTGGAGTGAACAAATCCAACTTTGAAGTCTATACCTAAAAACATCCGGAACCGATCAAAACCAAGGCAATGTGCATGCAAATGCGACTTGGCATAAGCTGCCTGAGTCATCCTGATTCTATATTCTAGCACATCCAGCATGCAATATGACATAATATGACTCTATGACTGAACTACCAAGATCCCATCCGTGTTGCGCTTGAGAACCTCAGATGTTGGCTTTTTCGAACATGTGTTTCCTACGTTCATAGCGTGTTCATTGCTCCTCTTCGTAAGCTAAGCTTACGAACTCTGACCAGGTTCGTGGACGGCAATCGGAAAGACGCTGAACGACGTCGAAAGAAGAAGACTTGACGTTGGAAAATGAGGGGCCTGGATGCTGCGCACATCTGTGCAGCGTCAACCAGCACATTTGCACACATCTGCTTGAGTTTGGTGTCTTGGCCAATCAACTTCTGCAACCTGGCGCCACTCCATGCGACTTCTTCCAGTGCTCCAGTGCTCCTCCCGGCGAGGCGCTGGTGATTCCGAGATCATCTCACAAGCGCAGATGATCGCGATCAGCAAACAGGCGGTCGGCCGCCAGTCGCGGCCTAGCGCTACGCGCTAGCAGTGTTAGCGTAGCCCCGAGAGAGACCGTGTTTTGGCCCTCTCATTATACACTCCGTGTCTGTGCCAAGTTCCTGGCCTTTTCTGGCTGGCAGGATCGGAGAGAGTGTTTCTCAACACCACCATCTCAACTCTGTCCAACAGCACAAAAAGTGATTCCACTCGGGATGTAAACATATTATAGCTATATCTATCTATAGATTCTGTTGGTTGTTGTTTTTGTGACTTGTTTCGTCTACTGTTCATTGTTTTTTTTGATGTTCTTTCCTATTTTATGTTTACTGTTTTCCTGATTCCACTGGACACGGAAAAAAAACAAAAAGCAAAACACAACCAGCTGACTCCCCTGGCCCCATCTGGCCCCTGGACTTCTTTTGTGTAAAAGTAACAGCTTGTTTTTTTTTTATGCGTTTCTGTTCTTTTGCAGCGGGTGTTTGTTTGTGTTTCTTTTATTTGATTGCTGGAATCGTTCGGGCAAATGCGGCAGGTCCTAACCTTCGGATCTCTGCCCACTTCGCTTGACTGAACCAGGCGGGTCCAGCGGAAGAATGGCTTCTCCCTCCGGTCCTGGATGGCGTTCAAGGCGGGCACCGTTGGACTTGCCGGAATCACCACTTGCGCTCAAGGGAGTGGGGTAGAACATCGCTTGCGTGCTGCAAGACAATCTCTCAAACATGTCCTTTTGCATAGAGGACTTGGTGCAGTTCTAGGTGATTGGTGACAGGGGGGCAAGCTCTTCCCCTCCAGTTCAGGCCTCATGTCATATCTTGTGATACAGTTGCGCGTTCATGCTGGCCAGAAAGGACACTTGCCTCCCTCTCGCACACTTATGGATATGCGTACTGACTTGACAGCGGTGCCACACGCCAGCCTAGGAAACCCAAATCCTGAAAGGTCCAGGTCCAGGAAAGTCCTAAAGAGCCTGGGGGTCTTCAAGAGGAAGTGAGGCCAAAAACTCAAGACGAGGTCGGTCCGACAGGATGACGACGGTCGCTCACAACTGCAGAGTGCATGACGGAAAGCTTAAAAGTTGAAATGCAGTGGAAAATGCAGGTACGTGAGAGTGATCAGCTCTCATATCCCGTGCGTCAGGTAGCTTCGTTGGACATGGTCCCTGAACGCACGCCATGTCCCCCTGCTGATGGAAAGGAAAAACAATTCAAAAGAATCCCTGTGACTACAAGGGGCACACACACATCCCTCAAGCATCTCACTTTCTCAAAAGTTGTTGCCACTCATTCAGATCCATTGAGTCACTTGCTATTCTGCAGTCATGCTCCTGATCCCAAGACGTCATAACTCGCTCCATGGAGTTCCACACACTCACCAGAGATCCAGTAGCAAACGCCCCTTCTGCCAAGGTACTGGTGAAGATAAGACCTGGTATCCGATTATCAGGCTGGCAGTGTATGACCATGTGCGTTGACGATTTTCATGTGGCCACAGAGAACTGGCCATGACATGAGCCACTGCCGCAACAAGTTCACACCACAAGTTTTCCATTGTGTTGAGAAGCCAACAAGCTCACACTACAGACCAGTGACCGGCTCACCGGCGAATCCGACCGGCCATGCCGACCGGCTTTTCGAGGTTGCTCTTCCGCCAGCCACTACCACAGGTCGTGACCCGAACGGTCGAGTGGCCAGACCGTTTTGTTCTGCCGCTTGGGGCGTCGCGATGCCCTTTGAATGCTCCGTTCGTAGCGATGCCAGGAGCCCCTACTGGTAGTAGCTTCTTGTTCCTACTTGGGGTGGTTTGTTGGAAGAGTTGCTGAAGACCCAAGACATCCCAAGACCCAGACTATCTCAAGCGCATGGAGCCAGGGGGTCTCGCCCCATGCCATTGATTCAATCTATTCCAAGACACATCGTCCGCCAGCCATCGCCATCATTCCTCTCCAAACTCGTTGGGCGGACGAAGCCGAGAGAGTGCCGTCCAAGGCCTGGGCTCCTCAACAGGAGACCTTGTGCGGGCGAATCTCCTTGCAGGTGGGGTGGCTCTGTGTCGGTGCCGTGCGGAAGCTCTTGGAGGATCGTGCGTTGGCTTCCCGGTTCTGGCACCTTTTTCATTTGGAAGCACTAGACTAGACTCATCTGGACTGGAGAATTGGTGCAAGTGGTTGTAACTGCCACCACAAATGGTCCGAATCAACTGGTCTCGTGGCAAAGGGTCTGAATGAAGCCTGAATGAAGCACCTCCTGGTATCTTGGTTTAAGGTTCAATCATTGAATATCTGCTATCGAGGCTATCGATTGAGATTTCCTGGAATCGATCTGGCATTCCAAGACGAGAAGATGTGCTGGCTGGATCATGTTGACAACCCCACAAGAATTGCCGACATCGCAGCACAGCTCAGTATTCAGATACTTGCTGCCTCATCTTCGTGCACAAGAGCTCAAACGAGCCGTACAATAAAGCTCAAAGGAGCTCAATCAACTCTTGAACATTTTGGACTTTTCATGTCAAACGCCCCCGGTGGACTCCTGGTCAACGTTGCCATCGCCCGCGCGCTGTGGAGGTAGCTGCGATGAGTCGTAGTAACCTACAGGATGCCGTGGGCCCAGCTGGTGCAAAGCGCGCACCGCGACACGGTACGACCAACGTTCTCCCATGGCAGTGTTCGTTTACCGCATTTACATTTATATAACAACATAATGAAACACACACATATATATATATATATATAAACCCTTCATATAATCAGAGATTGTCTTTATCAAACTTTCAGCAGATGTTTCTTTTGTTTCCTTTTGATCTCTTTTGGACCTCATTTTGTTTCTGGTTTTAGTTTTTATTTCGCGCTGATTCCTTTTAAATCATTGATTCCTTATGATGTTTCTTTGTTTCATGCTGGTTCCTTTTCAAGCATTTTTTTGCTGTCCTGCTGATAATATGGTATTGAGTGTTTTGATTCCCTTTGATGTTTTACATCCCTTAGCTGCTTAATTAAAACGTGTGCTTTTCTATTTTTTTTTTGCAATTTCTATGAGTCTATGAGGGTTTTCTGGCTCTTTTGAATCCAGGGGCTGAAAGGTGCACTAACAATGCAGGAAACAATAGAACCACATTACACCATATACACGACAAGCGCGCTTTTCCTAGACATGGTGGAGGGTGGAATCAGTTCATAGCAGTTCTACTATTAACGTGACACCTCAAACATTGCCCTTTTCTTTTAACCAACAGTTCCAGCTTCTCGTACAAAAGGGTCTGCGCTGCTGCGCTGCATGCTGCAGCAAGCAGACATCGAATGCCTCACCCCATAATTGGCACTTGGAGAGAGAAGAGAGTTTTCAAGTCATGAAGCGCTTAGGGGCGCAACCTGTCCTTCAGGTCCTTTAATGAAGCTTTTTGCTGAAGATGGTGTGACTTTGTATGATTCCACATCGGGAAACCTCAACGGTAGACCAAGTCGGCATATATGCCTCTCAAGCCTACATCCATGTCCACCAGTGGTCCTCCTTCAACTCAGCCAGAGCTCCTGTGGCCGAGTCTCAACTGGGTGACGACGGCCGGACCTATTTTGTGGATGCCTTTGGGACCATCCTCTCCGCAATGGACATTCAGGAGACCAAGTTTCCACTACGTTCCTGTGTAAGACAGGTTGGATGACGATGGATGACGATGGATGACCAGGGAGGTGTGGAAAATTGGTCACCACGAAAACGATGTTTTGAGCCTTGGATCATCCAGAACCGTAATTATGCAGATCTACGATCTACCGCGAACGATTATATATATATATACAATATACATGATCATGATCATCGTCATCATCGTCATTATCATCATGTTTGCCGCCACCACCACAATTTGCAGCATCATCATGATCATCATTCCTTCATTGTTGCTATCGTCCATTCTTATTGGAAAGTTCTTGTCCACTTTTTGCGGAACCCTTGATTCCACATTATATACAAAAGGAACAGCTGTGGATGTCCAGCTGCTGAGTTGTGAAGGCTAAGCCCAAGGATAGGACAGGATTGAAAAAGTTTCAATATCCTTTTGCAATCTCGGGCATAATAGTTTTCTTGGATACATGACAATTACATGGTTTCATGGATGAAGAAGATAAAGTACCAAGCACTGCGTCCTAGCATCCTCCA